TCTCAGTGGAGCGATGAATATTAATATTAATATTTTTTTTTTATTGATTTCACAATGAAGTGTGTTCTTTTTCTATGAGTCATAACATTTTGGAATCATAAAAACGATTTGATATTTAAAAATAGAAGTGATAAATAGCAACGAAATAAATCTAATGAGTACTTTATTGGAGGGAGGAGGAAGAGATCTAAAGTAAGAACTTTTTTTTTTATAAACGTAAAAAATAAAAAAATAAGGAAAAATAAAAATGTTTATAAGAATCGAAATTTTAGTGAATTAAAAATAAATAACTGTAGATGTTCAAATTTTCACTAAATGTTTATATTATCATTTTCTATTTGTCATAAAATTGTCAATCTTTTTTTAGTTTTTTTTCTATAAAATTTATAGATTAAAAGTTATTCTTTAGGTAAAAATGCTTGAAAACTCAATACTAAGCTCCTTTTAAGTTGTCAATTTTTTAATTATACAATATCGAAAGTCAATAGTCACAATCATTTTTAAAGGCATTTAAAGTTGAAATGTTTACAAAATTCATAAAAATTAGCAAATTATTTTGTAGTTAAAAATCCATAAATATGTTTGTTCTTACATTTTAGTTTTGAAAAAATAATACGAGGTTTATATATGTGTATATAAAATAAAATTTACTGAGAAGCAAAATTAATATTTTTCGAGCGTTTTAAGTTCAAATTTTTACAACATTCGATATTCACCCATAAAATAATTATTTTTCCTTAAATAATTTTTAATAGATAATTCAATAATTGTATTAAAAAATTAAAAAACAACAATTTTAAAACATATAATTGTAATAATTAAATACTAATAATATAATAAATGAAATATTTTCAGAAAAAATTATATGAATCTACCGTAACACTAAAAGTAAAATAAATGACTTTAAGAACTACGAAAATCAAAAAATCATATGATGAAATAATATACTCGGTGGTATAAGATGGCAAAACTAATCATTCCATCTCTACTCACCATCACATTTTGTATAAAACGATACATAATTGAATTAAAATTAAACTCCACACCCATAAGAGTGAATCGTTTGAGAACTAACGTACAGCAGATCGGTTGCCACTTGCCCGTCTTTTTTGGGGAGTTTTAGATGTAAAATGACAAAAATATCTACATGTTTAAATAATATGACTACATTATTGTGCGTATTTTTTTCGAACAACTATACAATGAACGAAATAATCATGAAATAATACATAATATTTTAAAGAATCTATACCGTCGCGCAGCGCACCAGCAATCGGTAATATCGGTTTCGATTTCGGTCCCCTAGAAATCGAAGTAATAGTTTACTGCGACCTAGATCTCTGTTCAAATGTTGGTATTTTTAATAAATTACGCTGTGTCAAACCCAACGCGTCACGTTTATACAGAGCAATGTAAATAACGTCCGTGTCAGCGGACACGGTGTATAAGTGTAGAGGGGTGGTAGCAAAGTGAGGAGGGATGGCGACGTTGCGCGAACCGAGCGTCTGAGAAATAGAAGAAGAATAGCTGTATAGCTGTTATATTTTATCCGTCAGCGCTTGTCGACGAAATTCCCGCACAACACGCACGCACGCACTTCACCGTAGTCGTAGTCATCGCCGTCATCGTCATGAATATGCATCATCCCTTTCGTCTACTCCACCTACCACCTCCCCGCCACCAGACAGTCACTCACATTACTGTCTTAACTCCTTTGCGGCACCGACCACCGTCGCATATACACGCAATATTATAATATAATATATTATGTTCAGTTCCTTTGACCCTGCGGCCACACACAACTCGCGCACCCAGGTTTCGGTATATTATTATAGTTTATTAGAATATTATAGAATAGGAGGTAGGTAAACACAAAATACGTATGTGAGCCACTGGAAGTTACGATATTTTCAAATTTAATTTCGGCGTAAACGTAAAGTTAAATTATCCATTTACATGTATTTTATAAATGCCGTACTATATCTCATACTTACATTAATTTTGTTATTATGTGTATAAAATAATAATATACGCCATTTAAAAAAGATACAAGTCAAATAAAAAACAATAAAAATCAGTAGATAGCTGAATATCGTTATTTTTTGTATATAAATATGTATATATCTAATTTCGTTTAAATTTGAATTTCAAACGTTCATGTGCAAAATTGATGTGCAGTATTTTTTTTCATAATTTTTTTTTTTTCTATTTCAATAAAAAAAAAAAAAAACTAAATTTTCAAGTCCAAGTTATTTAAATCAGTTCAAAGTTCTAAAAATTAAATAATATGCTTATGTATTTTTGATAATTTTAAATTGGTATAAGAACGACTCTTGAGGAATCCAATAGAAGAGAAATAGCATATGTTTATTTCATCGCGAGGATGAAATAACGAATGAACCCTTTCGTTTCGGCGGCCGCACCTTCGTCAAACCACCCCCAGACATGTCGCGGTACGACGTAGGTCGTGATCTATTTGCGCGCACGCCAGTCGCATTTCTCAACGGTCGAAGGCGGCAGAGTCAGTAATCGGACTGACGGACGGATTGTCGGGCGAGGGGGTGCTGCTGCAACTACAAGGGTGGTGTCGGGGAGTGGAGACGTGGAGTACTGTTTGAGTGAAATATATTATTATCCGGCGAACAATAATCACAATAATGATATGCGTGCGTATATTTATGACGGCTGCTGTTTAAAGCGCAGTTTCTTATATAATAATATTATTATATTATAATAACGTCATTTCATGTAATGCTCGCCAGTTTCCAGTAACAACTATGCGTAATATATATATATGCATTATACGTGCATCGTATTTGTGTTGTTTAACGCTTTTATGTAATATATATAATATATATATATATATATAGTATACATGGTAAGAATTTCTGTAATAGATCCTTTTCACGACTATTTCGCAAATAATACGTTTTATACATTTGTTATACGCGCAAGTGTATATGTACACACTATACAGTAAACACCACGTTTGAACGGATGGCCGTGAGTTAACGATTTATTAACTGTCATAGTACGTCAAGCCAACAAATTTGTTTTAAAAATTTTACTTCCACTGTACGAGCCGTATTACAAAAAAAATTCCAGATTTTCGGATCTTTTTTTTTAAGCTACCTAAAAATGTTCAATTCAATAAAAACAAATCAATAAATGTATCACGTTAATCAACTGTGTTTTATAATTTCAGGGCTGATAAGCAATTTTGTAAAATAAAAGTATATTTAAATTTAGAATAAGAAAAAAAAGTGGTTTAAACGGAGTAAATTATTTTTAAATATACGAAGATATCTAATTGTGTATTGAAGATAATATCATGTATAAATAATTTGAATATGAATTAACATAATACATAATACATTTAATTAAACTAAAAGTTTCATTTCATACTGTTTTTGAGTAATATGAATACCTATATATAACTAAAAATAAAAATAACACAAGGAGTAAAAAATATAAATTTATATTGAATTAAAAAAATCTCTTCAAAAATGTTTAATTACCTACCTATATCAATTTCTACCATTTTTTTTTTTTTTTTTTTTTTTTATTGGTACTTACGTATAATATATAATGTTTATATTTGCAAAATCAAAGGTTATATTTTCTTTTTATCCAAATCCAAAATTTAAAAGTAATCTTCGTTTTAAATAACGAAATAAGTATAAAAAAAAAATATTAATTGATTAATTCCTAATTTTTATTAAATAGGAACATAAATTATAATCGTAAAAGCCGTTATCACCAACAAATAAATAAGAATCAGGTATTTATTTAATAATAAATATTATTAATATATTTCCATGAAAAAATTTAACTTGATCTACTAAGCCATACAACTATCTAATAAATTACAAAAGATTAATAGTTTTCTTTTTTTCTTTAATATTAGAACATTTAAAATCAATATAATGTAACTTGGTTTTTTTTCAATAGCAGTCATACTGAATAGTTAAAAATAACAACTTTTAAAACTATTTATTTATTTATTTTTTTTGAATTTAATTTCGTTTAAAATACTTATAGACTTTAAATAAATAATAGTTGATAATTTATTTTATTATATTACAAGAAAAACGGTTATAAAATATACAAGAAATAACTATTGTGTTTTTTGAATGAAGAATATTTCGGGTATAATAACTTCTTATTTGATGATATTTAGAGAGAATTTTGTGTTACTGTACTTCCAAAGATTAAAACATTTTGAATTAATCCGAAATATAGTTGATAAATCTCAAAATGTATTTACGCATTGCAGAAACGATGATAGCTGTATGAGCAATCATTCTTACAGAACAACGTTCTAGAACAATAACGGAAAATACCAAATACTTAGCAACATCATTCAAATCCTCTTCCATTCTCTTGACTTATACTAGAATCACCGCAGCTCCATACGCTCCAACAACTTTTTAAAGGCCACTTATTAAAAGCATTTGATATTGTCGTGCATAATTCGATTTAACATTGAAATAACCGAATTTTCCTTGTTTTATTTAATTTTTTTGTGTAAATGTTAATTTTTTTTTATTTTAGTCTTTATTATTAACAAAAAAATAACGATTTAAAGCGAATATAATATGAAAAAAATTTTTACATTTATGAGAAAATGTTTTAAAATATTTTAATACTTGATATAATTTTAGTTTAATAATTGAAAAATGTAGGTTATATGAATATATATAGTTGTATTAACGTATGTACTGTGCAAGTCATTATTTATGCTACTTTTACAACTCAACTCACAGTTTACATCAAAACACAATTTCAAGGTCTAAAGTCTAACTACTAATTAATATTACGTAGAATTTCATTGATATAATAATTCATCATAGTTATTATAATAATTTATATTGTTTGTGCGTATAATTCTAAATACACAAGCATAACATAATATATGAATACCGAACTAGTTATTAAAATAAACACTTGAAAAAAACATTTAAAATTTGAAAATTTAAACAATTCTAATTTTATTTCAGATTTGGAAATGCATTTAAAATGACAATCAACTTGATGAAAATCCATGTACTTACTTACAAAAAAATTCAAAAGTAAAATGAACAAACAATTAATAAAATATGAAATGCCTAAGTGGACACAGTTATTTTTTAGTACTAAAAAGGTAATAATTAATATTAATTAGTTTATTATAATTTATGGGTACATTTAAATTATTTTTAGGTCTTATGGTTCTATCTCAAAGTTTATTATTTAATAATTTTAATTATGACATATTTAAATTTTAGGTGAAATTATGAATGCATTAATTTCACTAAAATTAAGTTTTTTAATTTATAATTACATTTTCAAAATACTTTGATTTTCAAATTTAATGGGTGATTTAAGTTGAAAATTAGATATAGTCAGTACTTTCGAAGTTATTAGTCATTTTCAAAATAATCAATAAAATAAAAAACCGAGGATATTTACGAAAAATTAATTTTTGACAAATTTTTTAGCGTAATGCTATATTATTTAAATTATTTAAATTATTTTTGAGCTATTTCTAAACATTTGGAAATTTGGAATTTTTTTTTTTTTGTGTCAATATAAATTCAGTTAAAAAACTTTAAAATTTTATACGAAATTCTTCATAAGTTGTATTTATTATATTTTAGACATTAAAAAAATATGTTAAATCCATAGTCACGATTATGCTTAAGCATTCAAACTTCAAATTTGGATTATATTTAAATAAATAATAACGATTTTAGTTGTATTTGTGTAATTTAAAAATATATTATTCGTGGATACTTGACATTTTTAACGTATATATATATTACTACTTGTATCTATTTTATATACATAATGAAATTTTTATCCGCAATTTTTCGGTAAAAATTAATTCTACCAACTGTATTATTAAAAGAAAAAAAACAATAGCTATATATTATAAATATACTATAGATAATATTTATTTATGTATAGACTGGCACAGACCGTTTTCGTTCAGAATCATAGTTCTCTTTTTTTACATTCTATTCTAATTAATAAGAACATTATAGTATTATGCCATTTTATATTTATATTTGGCAGACATTCACTAAAATAATTTTTTTTTTATATATACAAAAATTTACCACATTAGTATATTAATTGTTCTACCTATAACACTTCTATAGACTACAGTATTAAAGAATATACACAATTATCTGTTAATCTTACGTTGAATATAGGTATTATATATATTTAATTTGTGACGTACCTAAGTAGATACAGATATTGATATGTGTTATTAGTTTTGCGATTAATATTCATAGGTATTTAAAACTTACAATAGCTTTCCGTTTTGTTTTATTTTGACATCCAATTAACGGGAGAGTTTATTTATAGTGTCACAGTTCGAATCGAATGGTAAAAACCATGTATAGTATGAAAAATATAGTTTTTCCAATTTTGATTGTCATATTATATTTTTGTCATTATGGTTCAGATATACCTACTCAACGAAAATAAAAAACTATCTATTTTCATTATGATTAAGAAGCCGCCATTTTCCATCACCGTTCTTTCGCCCTATAGTCATTTAATAATTCAATCAAATGATAATATAATATAAGCGTGATGTTTCTCGTTCCATTTTGTCAACCGATCTTTATAATATGGTTCATGCATATTTAATATTCATACATATATACGCGTATATATTTATATATATATATATATTATTCGAATAAGATTCCTGACACTATGGTCTCTGACGGAAACAATAAATTAATGCAACTGGGTATATTATGTACAATACGTCACGTATTTACAATAAGGGGCGATGAGCGTGCTCATAGCACTTAGGTCGTCTCATCTCGCCTTGAAGTATTATAATTATGTATATATATATATATCATTTATTTTATAATAAATTGTATTATTTATATTATATATATATATGTGTGTGTGTGTGTGTGTGTAAGTGAGCCGTGCACATATTTTAACGCTAACAGTCGGAAATGGGATTGGCGAACGGGTCGAAGAACTCGGAGGCGTATATAATATAAAAGCAGCGTAATTATGACGTAGCGGACAGGAGTTCAGTTACTTTTTCGAAGGGCTTTTCCTCTTTCCGAGTACCTATACTCGTGCTCACCTCGTCCCGTTCCTTCCACCCTAAATCACGAACGGCGATCCACCGGTATTTGTTACCAGCCGCCACCTCCATACCTTCATCCGGATCCACACTAGCGGAACGACGACGACGACGAACAGTCTCTTCTCTCGTTTTACAAAACTTTGTTTGCTGTTGAGGCGTCGAGATAAGGCGGGCCCGGTGGTAGATTTTAATGGCATTTAAACACGCACTACCACCACCGCCGCACACTGAGACACACGAACGGCCGGTACAAGCGGCGGCAATAACAAAATCTTCCGATGGCGACAAGAAGGCACCCACCCCGCACCGTACACCTCACCATCTGCTCCTCCGTTGCCACTGAACTCGGCGTGCATCGTAAAACCAAAAGGGCCGTTAAAACTTTATCGCGTTTACCGGGCATTAAGAATACTTTGGCTGCGGAAAGAGAGAAGTAGAGATTTAGAGAGAAAACCACTAAAACGACTCGCCGTACACGGTTTATATAAATATGCACGTGCACACATAAACACACACATAAACCTATATACACAAATATACATACATATGTGCATGGAGAGGGTATACATATATGAAGTGCAGTTATTTGAACTAGGTGCACGGTACACGATAAAATGCTACTATATTGACCCACATCTCTTAGCCTCGGTGATCCCATACTCGCCGAGGAAACGGTTTTTCGGTTTTTCTTATAAGAAGAATAAACACGCTTACATATGTGTTTTCTTCGTCTTACAAACGTATAGCGTAGAAAATTTCCGTTTAGCAGAATCAAATTTGAGTTGTTAGCTTCAATATTACAACGAATAATTTACCATATAATATCAATTTCAAGAACATCATCTATTGTTAATATGTTGAATTTATACAATATATTAGTTTGGCTTTTGATTATGAAATAAATTACTGTTAAACAATGATTTTTAACGAATTGAATGGCCACATTGTTACACTTATAAATGCGTAATATTGTATGTATTGCTTATGTTTAACGTTTAATCAGGGACGAAGTGGCCCACCGGGGATACTGAGAAAAATTCCGTTGACCTGAAGAGTATAAATAGAAAAAACAATTTATTTTATTCAAGAGATGAAAATTTTGAATGGCCTAATGGAAATTTATTTTCCTAACCTAAATGTTTTCCCACTCATTCCCTGCGCTTAATTATAAGTTCTGTAATGGTTAACCGAAGATCCAAACCTCATGGTTAAAACTTTTCGTTATTCAATTAAATTTTTTCCGATTTCCAACATAATATTACACATGACATTAAAAATACTATCCCGCATTATTGATTTCGAACCTATCTGTATTATATATTACTATTATATTCCTATAAACAGAAGCTAGTAAAAGGCTATTCTCGAATCAACACGACTGAATTATTAACCGTTTAAAATTATAATAACTTCACAACTGTTTATTTCCATCGTGATGATCACTATTATCCAATGGACAATAATCAACTTATTGAAAGTGAAAGGATAACGAAGTTACTGGTTTAAATTAGTTAACCACCGAGGGACACTTTGTATCTGAATTAAACTGTTTGGCGTAATTCCTGTTTGACACTGATATAGTGATATATATTTAACACAATTACAATATTAAATTCAGTGTCAATAAATATTTTTTTCTATTTATGACATTATTCACAGATAATTTAAAATCTATTGATTTATGGTAATTTCATTTTATCAGATGTTTTATTAAATTTATAAAATAATAGAATAACAATAATATTAGACTATTAATTCTTAAATGTAATTTCATTGTAGTTTAATGTAGGAATATTACAAAAATAAATAGACGAATTTTTTATAATTTTAAATATATTAATGTGTTTTCTACATTTTCGATGATTTTGTAAAATACTATATTTTTTCAAAAAGTTAAATAGACACGTCATTTTCATTCTACATAGATTATGTAATATATATATTATTTTTTTTTTTAAATTTGTTTTACAGCAATAAATAAATTTATTTATAATATTATGCATATAATATAAAACATAAAGAAAACAAATAGATATAAAATATTCAAACACAAAAATATGACGAAAAAAATGTACAAAATTCATTATTTGTAAATAGTATAACTTGTAATATTAACTATTATATTTATATTAATTTATAATACTATCAAGTTTTTAATAATTTATAAAAACAAACAATTTTTTATTTTTTAATAGGTAAAATTTAGTTAGTTGATTTAATATACAATTTAGCTCTAAGCTTGAAAATTTCTTTCAAAAGAAACTAAAAGGAGACTTTATTTAACCTGTCTACTTCATTTAGTAAGTAGTAATGTATTACAGTGGTGAAACGTGCTTGATGACTAAAGACGAAAAGATAAAAAACACAACCTTTGAAAGGAAGACTCTTGAAAAGGAGTTCACGAATCCACATATATATTATAGTACAGAAACCGGAAAGTATGAATATAGAATGAATAATGAATGCAAATATCAAGAGAGAATATTCAATGAACAAAATATCCAAAAATATTTTATGACAAGAAAACTACAACGATCCAAACTCTTTGGCGAGCTTGGAAAAGTTGGATGATACAACCTAGTAGTTAGTAAACAAAAAAGGTCGCGTAACAGAAGAATAACTCGAAACCGCCGGCTAAATAATTGTGTAAAGAAAGATTTAAAACGGTCGGATGATTAAATGAAACAGTATGACTGGAAGAAGCAGACAATAGTAGTCGCTGGAAGGATTTGGTAGAAGCACTAAAAGACAAAAGCTTAAAAATAAATAGTTATTAATACAAAAGTTTATCGCAAATATGAATAAGTACTGAGTCATATACGTCTTAAATTAATAAAAACCGCCTTTGCAATACACTTCTGTGTGTGTAAATAATACATATTATTATACGCAGTACACACGTGTTCAATGCGTATTATATGTATTATTATTATTATTATTATTATATACAACCAAGTTTCCTACTACATCACGATCCGCCTTGTCTGTACACGATTCGTACAACTACAACTGTGGACAAGGATGGCGCAGGGACGGCTCCGTAGCGGCGGCAGGCGGCGTTGTGTTTTGTGGGTATATGTGGGTGCCGGTGCGTTAAGGGTCAGAGGGGGGTCGTAGGGGGGTCACAAAGGCGGCGAGCACTCTACGGGTTCCTACTACAAAGTTTCTTTCTCCCGTTTTACACTGTCTCGATGTCTGTTGTTGATATTAAAATTCCATCCGTGTGCCTTTCGCGTATAACACGAACGTCGCCGTCGTCAGATTGAAATTCAAGGCGTGGCGGTATATTTCGCATTATACGAATATGTATAAAGTATGATGCCGCGTCCTGAATACGTTCTACACACCGACCGGGGTGCATGCACCGTACTGTGGGGACCGGTGGGAGGAAGAGCTCTTTCTCGAGTTTTGCACGATAAAATTTATGCAAAGCCTAATAACAAACAAAATGGCTGCTTCTTATGGCGCGGATATACTGTGTGTGTATGTGTGCACAACTCGGAAACGTTAAATTATAAGAACAACAAAACTTTTAATTGAGTCTTGGTGCGTCTTATTTAAAATATATTAATAATCGTATCTGGTGTTTTATGCGAGTAAATCCGGTACGCGCCGAGATATCCATAAATCATAATGTTGGTAGTCGTTAGTTGTATTGCGATTGGATATTATTTGCAATTTGCATTACCGTTTAGAAGAAAATACGTATATAATAAACAAAGACCTAATAATGTAATCATCACCTACAAATATGATGATTCAATAGTTTGTCATACGTATTGTCAATGTTTGAATACCAAAATGCAATGTCACGTTTTTTTCGATGGTTAGTAATGATAAACTATTGAAAAACTTCAAAATAAATTTAATAATATCAATAATTTATTTGGATTTACTCTAAAGTTATGTACTTATGATTCGAAAAAACCAATAACTTCTCATAGTAAAAAAAAAAGTGATTTTTTATTTTTATTTTATTTATTTATTTAAAATTACACTCCAAAAGAGTAATGGATAAATATTTACGAAAAAATATGAATAGATATAATAATAAATGATTTAAAGAAAAAAGTATATAATAAAAGACAAAAGTATATAATATTATATAACTAAATTAATTAAATAATTATCGCATGAAACTGTGAATAATAATTACCAGATAAAATTCTTATAACCATATTTTTTTTTTTACTTACCTTAAATCTTTCGCTAAAAAAATGTACTTTTTTTATTTTTTTAAAAATGACCACTCGAATAAATGTGAAGACCAATTAACGTCATAGCACTAAGTTATTTGCTAAGTTAAACATGAAACACACAGGTGCATTAAAAAATGATTCATACAGTTTCAAATGGTTATACACATTTTATAATATAATTGGTATTTTACTAGGTAATATTATTTGAAATTGAGTTTCTGGTGCTCTTAAATATTTATGTGACTTTTTTTATTCACTAGTAAACTACCACCAACAGTACTATATATTCCACATAAAGATTTTTAAATTTGTCTACGGTTGATAGTGTTTTTGTGGTATGTACATGGTAACTTTAATAAATCTCTGAAACTACTGAAACATGATGTAAGATCCAATACCCTAGATAGTCATGTCAAAAGGATTGGATTTTATAAATTTTAATAACCCTGTATTTTAATTTATAAATGTTACTATATGTGTTAATTATATAAAATTTATATCTATTAACTGTCACTTAACATACTTTCGTTTAAATACCTAATATTATTATTTTTTTTTTTTTTTGCAAAAATACAAAAAATAAAAATATAAATGACCATAAAATTTTGATGTTCTACGTGTTTTAACAAAAATTATGATACCTACATCTTAAACGACTTAAACTATTGCTAAAATCCAAATATTTAATATACCTAATTTTGATCGTGAAAAATGAGCGGAACGATAATATTAAAAAAAAAAATACATTTTATTTAAGTTTGATTCGACTTTGAAAATTTATTTTTATTACTTTTACGAACTAAGTATAATAATTTACGGATTTTTTTTTTAACGTATTGCATATAGGTTAGGTTATAAATATTTATTTAGTTATAAATTTTTATTATACGAAATAATGTGAAATACAATTTTAATTGATTTAAGGTATAATTATCTATCATAGTTTTAAGTTTAATAGCTATTGCTTCCATTTAAATGTTAAATAAAAGAAAAAAAAGTCATAGCTTAAGATGAAATTTATTTTATATCAATAACTCTTAAAATACTATTAGAATTACACAAATAACACACTGATGTAAATTATGTGTAGATAAAAATATTGTTTTTATATTATTTTGATAATAATTACAAATTGTCACTACTTTGAAAAATAACGCGGCTAAGTACAATATTTAAAAATAAGATAAAATCATAAGTAATATTTAAATTAGTCTACCCAGAAAATATGATTCGTTAGTAAAATATTACATATAAAAAAAATAAAATGAAATACATTCATATTGTTTTGACGAAATATAATATTTTACCTTTGTTTTACCCGTATTTTTTTTTTTTTTTTTTTTATCTTATCTTTTCTACTGATTATTAAGTTAAAATTAAAATTGTTTTATGTAAAGCGTTTGTTCACGTATTAAATGTTTTTACAGATATAATATGATCTTAACCCATAATGGAAGCATAACACCTGAGGAAAAGTCAACACACTAGAGTGACTTAATCAACGCTATCCGATAAGTCTGTATTCTAATAAGTTTAACGGCTTCTATATATTATAAACTTTGCTTTACGAGAAACAATGATGGTTAAATGGTTGAAGTATAGTATTATATTTTGAATTATTAAATATTATATCATTATTATAAAATAATTTATTATTTTTATATTTTTAACTTTCATAAAACTTAACTGTAATAAATTAACACAATGGTATAACAAATATCAAATTTGTTACAATCTAATACAAAATCCTATCATCACAGTTAGTATGTCCGTATATTTTTGAAACGTTTTTGAAAGAAATACTAATACAACCTTTGGACATTTGAAAAATGTTTTGTCCTTTTTGGTTTTCTTCCGGTATCCTTTAGGACGCGCAAATCCTCTTTCCATTTCACATCTACCATTCCTGCCCACTATAAAATTGTATTATACAGTTGATTTACGGGACTCCATCCGAGAGAGCACCTTTTGATACATTATTACGTAATAAATCAAATTTAGCGCCCGATGTTGGCGAAAATTAAGACGAGTCGGCAATGTGAGAGAGGGAACCAACTGCAGTGTTGTCGGCGACGAGGGAAAATGCTGTGGGCGGCGGTAGGTATAGCGGTGAAGGGATCCATAATTTAAGACTTTCTGGGCACGGGCCCCCGAGTTTAAAACTAATTAATTTTACCGCGAACTCGTCGGGTTTCCAACTAGACAGACTGAAAGAGAGAGAATAAGAGAGCAAGTGAGGACGAGAGAAATATATATGTTGTCTACGCGTAGTGTGTGGGCCATGGCGAACACTTAAAGTCGTCCGAGGTTGGTTGAGGGTACTCTGGCACACAAAATTCCTAAGTTATTATTCGCAGAATATATTATATTTTAGAATGGGACTACATGTATTCTGTATGTATATAAATATATATATATATATACCCTAATACGTGTGCGAGAGAAAGAGAGAGAAAGACGATGACGGCGCGGGTAAAGAATACAACAACGACGGTGACGACGGCAACGACGACGACGCCGACGATGGTTAAGGGAATAGAAAGGGTGGAAAGTTTGCGAGGAAAACTTTGCGCCCGAGAAAACCGGATAAATAATAATTATTAAGGATTCCGCCGCCGCCGAGCTTCGTGTGCCGCTGTCGCTGTCGTCATACAACCCATCTCCTCGCCGCCACTGGTCTCGTTGTGTAGTGGTGCCGGAGGCGTCGCTCGTCGACACGATTACGACGACGTTACGTAATTATTCAGCAATATGTAACAATGTTCATATCTCGAAATTGAATTATCAGGTTCATTGGCGGGAATTTAATTTTTATTTTTTATCGCCAAAATGAATAAATTACGCTGGAAATTAGGCTAGCGAACCCCCTTAAGTTTACCAGCAGGTAAATCCCTATTATATGTTTCCCAACCAGTCACCCTGCTACAGCTACCACCGCATCTACCTCTTCCTGCCACAACATCATGCCATTAAGTAATGATTCCGGTGGAAGCAAACACTTAAATCTATTTAGAATGACGCTTTATGTGTGGTGAGAAAATGCACGTGAAATAATTAAATTCAATAGCGCTATTATTTACATCGTTCATTCAGAAAACTGTAAATATATATTATTGGTTTAAAAAATCTATTACATTTATATGATACTAATTTAAACTAATTTGTTTTTTTTTAATTTTTTATTATTAAGCAAAGTCCGCTACGTCAAATTCTTTTGAGCAATACAATTGAACTTATACATATTTACAAAGATTGTAATTTACATTAAATGTGTTATAGTAGATGTATTACTCATTTAATAAATATAAAATTATAACTATATATTTTTTAAAAAGGTCTAAAGATTTGCTCTTGGTGAGAAATTTAAGTTTGACCAGATATTTATATTGATGTTCAACAGAATGACATTCTGAGATTAAATTTATTTTTTTCAGAATACTTTCAAGAAAATGAAATATATTATGCTTCTCGTACAAATATAATATAATACTGTTTACCTAAATCAAGATAAAATATAATATTCTCTTCTATTCAATAATAAACGTCGAAAATGTGGTGGATATCCGATTTGTCTGTCATGCGGTTTTCCTTTAAAGCCTAAAACTATAAAGGGACTAAATAACGTTTGTGGTTGAAGCGTGGTAATATATACGAGAAATTTTGAATAAACAATGAAAACTTTTAAAAGGTGACCATTATTAATAATCTTATTCAAATTATATTAACTTAAATTTTCTTGACATATTTGTTGTTTTTTAAACGTATTATTCTTAGGTTTAAATATTTGTTTTTATTATCATTATTATTTTATTTTTTTTTTTTGAATCAAGGATGACATTTTGTAATATATACAACGCATGTTACAAAGAATAAAGATGTACAAATATTTAAAAATTTGATACTGAAAAATATAGAATACAATAACAACTAACCGATTAATTGTTAAAATGAGTATTATTTTGTGTAAAAAATATATTTGTTTTCCAACCAAACCGAAAAAAACATCGAATTAACCTGAAGATATAGCAACAATGTTGAATGTATTTAAAAGCAGATAATCAATCAATAAGTATGTTATATGAATGTATACACTATTATTTTATATAGATAAATTTTATAAATTTTTATTTCAATTTTAAAATCAAATTATTTTATTAAAGGTAAATAAAAAACATCATAAAAATCATGTTTCGTCAAAGAGAAAAAAATCTCCGTAATAATCAGCAGTATAATTTTAATATATAGAATTACTAACTAAATATTAATATGCAATAATAATAATAATAATAATAATTATTATTATTATTCAATTAAAGAAATAAATATTACAGAGTAAATAATATCTCACAATAATTAATTACAAATGATGAATCTTTTCAAAATGTGATGACTGTACTTGTACAATAGAAGTTAGATTCTAAGCCAGTGATAGTAAAATTACTTCAGATTTTTTATATTATTAAGTTAATAAAAAATTATTTTCATTTAAATTTTGGCTAGTACAAAATTGGATAAAAATTATTGTTAAACATTATTTACTTTGTATTATTTATTTGTCTGATGGAATAAATATTATGTTATCATTATTATATTACTATACAGTCGTACTTTCTATGTAATGTTTCTTCTACATAATTATAATATTTGCCATTAACTGTCTGAAACGAAGAGACAATCATTAGGCATAGTAAAAAAAAAAAAACAATGAGACATATCTAATTGAAATTATAAATAAATCTAGCCGACAAAAGCATCACTCGTTTTCAACGGGCTCATAAAATACGGGCATTTTCTTGATTTACTAGTATCCGAGATACATTTGCACTAACCAATGACCCACAAACAAAAGGAGTTTGATTTACATTTCTAACGTTGCACTACATTGGTATAATATTATTGCTATTATTATTACACAAACGATGGTTAAATATATTTTAATGATATAGTCGTCATTGATGGGCTTTATTATGTCATACAAGCACAATTAAAACGTTGTTTGACAGATGCTATACGAAAAATACCAAGTATTATTAAATCGTAGAGGTACCGAGATCAACAACCGTTCTATAAAACATTAATAATAGTAAATAATATTGTAATAATAGTTTAGTCGCCGATCCAAGAACACATTCGAAACAAAACACTACCCTAATAAACAGCAACTCCGATCGTGTCGGGCTTGTGTACGGAAGTAGATACCTACATGACTGTAGTGGGTGTAGGATGTTTACCCCACCGTTATTTCAGGTTTTTTTTACAAAGTTTGTTGATAACCTTGATATATTGTTTGTTATGGCTATCAATTATAATCATATTTTTGATAAAATATAATGTTAGATCTACGTTTGTCGCACTGCTTATGATGACGATTACCTTATTTTGAAGTTCATTATAACAACTACTATGTACAAACCCTTTTTGGTTCAATAAATATCAATAATATGATTTATTTCCATAAGTAAGACCAAGGTTGTAACTGAGGAAGGTTTTGAGGGTTTTAAAATTTCCTTTAATTTTTAAATTTTATTTTTCTTAAGAAAAATTATAAAAAATAGGAATTTCTAAGAAGTATATTATTATGCAATATTATTTTCATCGCAGCAAAATATCAGTAATCGTACATGTGGGTATGCAAATGCCAACCATTGCATTCAAACTAGCTCAAAAATTTAATTTTTAATCTCGAATAAAAATTATTATTATTATTTTATTTTCAACATTTAATATTTAGTTGTTCGTACACAAATGGAAATTTTAAAAGCATAATATAAACTCAGCATTCACTCAGCTTAGTACTTTACTTGTATTCTAGTTAAAATATTTTAAATTTAGTATTACTTCATTTCAATCGTAATGATTTTAACGTAAAAGAAATTGTTATAATTACAATCAAATCGGTTTGACATTTTCATTAAAATTTCCATTGTGTGAAAAAATATAATACTAAAATATTTGTCTCGAATACTAAATGGTATAACATAACTTCAATATGCGTACACGTTGAGTTTAAAACTACAATAGAAGTTTAAGATTATTTTTCGACATTTTTTAAACTACTATAGAAACTTTAAAACTTAGCTGAATTTTTAATGAGCTATTCAATTTATGCACGAACATGGGTCATCCATTTAAAGAAGTTTTTGAGTACACTTAAATTTGTTCAAAATGTATCGATGATAATATAATTTCCATTAAATCTGTTCGAAAAAATTAAATAAAATTAATATTAATTGTTCAGAATATTATATCTGTAAAGACAAAGATTCGGCTTATTATACTTTTTAGGTTTGAAAAAAAAAAATAAAAACTGAACCGTATCATTTTTTCTAATAATATCATAGCGTAAGTCTATTTTGGAGAGTACAGAGGGATTTATTAAAAATACTTGTAATTAACTAGAAAATAAAATAGGAGAACAAACCCGTGAGACTGAACAAAAATAATGTGTATGGTATTCGTGATGTAAATGTACAACTTTTAAAGAAATCTACATATCATTTGACGTGTGCACATACAATTATTTACACGCTTGAACACCCATCTCCAATTCATCGCTTACCACTCGACCGGGCTACGTCGTAAGTAGCGCGTACTAAAGGCACGTTATCGGATAATAACATAATAATATATTATCGGTTATCACACGCTGGAATGTGCGGAAATTCGATTTTGTCGGTTGCCTTTGCAGTGAATTCAAACGGTTGGTGCGGCCGTTGCTTTTATACGTCGGATTTCGCGCTCAAAAACACCGTATAATACGCGGTGCATAGGTACACACGTGTATGTATATTATTTTATATACGTACGCGTAATATATAATTATATTATATTATATTATATCCATTAAAATGTCTCGTGAATGATTGTTACAGTACAAGTGCTCCCGGTTTCCGCCTCCTCTACTCTGAAATCGGCGCACAACGACACGTCTAGTGGGTACCTATACTATACTTATATAATACTACACTCTAATCGCTCTGTACATGTCAGCTGTAAAGACCGTTGTCGCGCCGTTTTTGTGTCGGCGTATTCTGTATAGCTGGCGTATATTATATTATACATAAATGTGTGTGTGAGTGTGTGCGTGCACATTCAAAGAAAATAATTTTGCGCGCAACGGTCTTTCTCTCTCTCACACACGCACACTACACCCTTCCTACTTCGAGATCACACCTTTTCCTCCTCACCGTTTTACGACCACCATACGCCGACCTTTCTTCTACGAGTTCTACGCGTTACTTATTTAGTATTGTATATACGTATGGCATTCGGGACTAGGTACGTAACGCATATAAATATATGTATATGTATATGTGTGTGTGCGTGTGTGCGTGCACTGCCCGGCAAAGGCAGTGGCGGTGTCGGTGTACACACGCACAATACAGTCGTGTGCGGCAGTGGTGAAAGTTCTAACGGAGAAATTCCAAGGTGGAACGCTCGCTGGTAATTGACTTGCCGTCCCACCCCCTTAGGTCGATTTATCACGAATACGAATGGTTGGTACCTACCACCGCGCGTACACTCGCGCGGATGCCCGTGTTTTGTAAACGGGCGAGGCGGACGAGGTCGGGGGATAGTGTAATTTCGTTGCCTTCAAGCGCACTCTTTTGAGTAATGCCATTCTCGGGTCGCAGCGGCGACGGGGGAGGCGAGAAACTTCCAACTTGTAATTTATGACTCGGTAGCGCGCGCGTTTTGTATGCAACTTTCTTCGTATACGCACACATGCGCGCTTAGGCTCACACTGCACGTACTCGACGACAACACACACCTACATTTCACGTCGTCGTTGAGGAGAGGTTTGTTGTCGAAATAATTATTGACGAGCACCGGAGACTTTTGTCTCCGGCTCGACCCGGGGATTAATCAACCGCCGTTTCGCTACACCCTCACCATTCTTCTACTACCACCACCACCACCACCACCACCGCCACCACCACCACCACCACCACCGCCACCACCACCATATCACAGCCGCCACAACGTCGTCGCTCCATGGTCTATTTAGCCACACCCGAACACTCTGAACTCCACACTCACATTTGGTGCACCGCCACCACCTTCAGTCACTACCGGAGGAAATGACAAAATGACTCGCCGACAACACGACGATGACGTATAATTAAAGTCCAACACAAAACTAACTTGCAGTTCTTCAACGACGAAGCATATATAATACCGCGCGCTACTATTTCTAACTTTCCGTTCTTATGACTTTTAGGAGGGTACACGCACACACACAGACATTTTTGAGTGATCTTTCTTCCTATAGTTCCTACCTACAACAGCTTGTTCAGTTTTTGCCATAGTATTACTCATATTATACCGCCTTTATAGACATAACTCATATCACTATTGCTTGTCTTGAGTGTAACTTCAGCTACATCACTGTAAGATATATCGTTATCATATGAATATGACCAATGCACTCAACGAGGTATTGCTTTTAACGAGTGATTATATAAAGTACAGCA